AAAAAAAAAAAAAATTTCCTACAGTACAAAGTTTAAAGCGCAGTAAAATATTTAAAGAAAGCAAAACCAACGGTGATCAGGAATTACTAAATTACTGATTAGAACAGTAACAAATGCAGAACTGGATGCTGCAAAATGAATTTCTATGGCAGGGGACGTATATGATGCAATCTACTGAAGATCCTCCTTCTTTCAAATCTATCTACTCAGATTGAAGCTGTAAAAAATATCAATATGGACCTTTTAATAGCAAAACTATAGCACATTTTGACACATGAAATAATTAAAGTTTTACATTAAAAAAAAATCTCTAAGTGAAACGTAAGAAACCAGTAACCGTAGTTGTCTCACAGTATTTCCTCTTTACAGTTTGAATTTTTTCAATGTCACGCTTTCACATTCTGTTTATATTACCAAACTAAGTAACAACTTACTTTCATCATTTTCTTGGTCTCCCGATTGAGAACCATCTCCAGCACAAACACATCGCCTGCGGTGGGCTGCTCAGACGCCTCCTCCTCCTCCTCCTCCTCCTCCTCCTCTTCCTCCTCCTCCTCCTCTTCATTCTCTCCCAGCATAAAAGCAAAGACCTTGTGAACCGACTTACTAACTCCATCTGATGTTTCTCCTGAAGAAAGACATTGAAATTGAGGGACGGGGAAAATCTTTAGAACACGCAGTAAGCAAAAGAAAACAAAACAGTATTTTCTGCAATATAAATTTCTTTTTTTTTTTTTTTAAATATATCTTTATTGATTTCAGAGAGAGGAAGGGAGAGGGAGAGAAGAGAAACATCAATGATGAGAGAGTCATTGATTGGCTGCCTCCTGCACGCCCTTGACTGGGGATCGAGCCCACAACCCGGGCATGTGCCCTGACCAGGAATCGAACCTCAATCTCCTGGATCCTAGGTCGATGCTCAACTGCTGAGCCACGCCCGGCAGGGCTATAATATAAATTTCTATCCCAGCAAACTTGAAAGCAAAAAACAGACAAATAATGCCCTAGCCAGTCTGGCTCAGTGGTTAGAATGTCGGCCTATGCACTGAAGGGTCTCATGTTTGATTCCAGTGAAGAGCATGTATCACAGTTGGCGGTTCAATCCCTGGCCCATGTTGGGGCAAGTATGGGAGGCAACCACATTGATGTTTCTCTCTCCCTGTCTCTCCTCCCTCCCGTTCTCTCTAAAAAAAAATCAATGGGAAAAATATCCTCAAGTGAGGATTAACAACAACAACAAAAACACCAGACAAATGAACACTCCCCTTTGGGCCTCATCTAGATACACAGGCAAAATTAAATGGGAAGTCAGAAGTATGCACAGTAATAGTAAAAACGAGAAAAAAAAGAAAAAAAGCATTTTTAAAACACAGACCTAAGAACTAAATAAGTCTGGTGGTATAGAACCAGGTGGTATAGCATAGTTGTTATAGGTGAGGCTTCTAGAGCCAAGCTGACTGGTTTCAAACTTCATCTCCATCTATCACTACATGTGTTACTTTGGGCAAATTACTGAAGTTCTCTGTACCTCCATTTCCTCATCTGTAAAACTGGGTTAATAATGTTTGTCTTATAGTGCTACTCTGAGGATGAGGTGAGTTTTTATTTATATGCGTTTAGAATAATGTAGTAAGAGCGCAATGCTATTGTTAATATCAAAATAGTATTATTATTTCAGAAACAAAAAGTAACATGACATACTTCATATATATCTGAGAACACCACTAGAGTATTTTTTAAGTTCATAATGATGATCTTGAATGATCAAGGTTAAGTTTAGAAGTCAATTTTCTGTTAAAGCAGAATGTAACATATTTTTAAAAGTTCCAACAAAATAGTTAAAATTTTAAAAACATATGTATCTTTGTGTTTAAAAAAAATCCTTAAGCTTATTCACTTAGGTGAAACACCTCAAATATGCTGGATAAATGAGTTAATATGTTTAAGAAAGAACGGAATTTAAAAATCCACATCTTCTGAGCAACAATAATTATCACTATGAAGTTATAACAATCTTCTTCTTCAAGAATTCTGAACATCGAAAATAAATATGAAAATGTGTAAAATAAAACCCTACCAATCAATAAAATTTATTATAGTAACAAAAAAAAGGGGGAAATTGTATGATCATCTTGATAAACACAGAAAAGTATTTGATAAAATCCAACACCCATTCCTAGTAAAAATTCTTGGTCAACTAGAAATGGAAGGGAATATCTTTAATTTGATAGAGAGTATCCAAAAAGTTTTCCACAAACACAGTTAATAGTGAATTTTTCAGTTACTGAGACTGAGACAAGTATGCCTGCTATCACTACTGCTTTCAACATTTTACTGGAGGTCCTAGTTAATAATAAGGAAATAGAAATAAAAGACATACAGATGGCAAAGAAGAATTAAAATTGTCATTAATGGTATGATTTATGTACAAAGAAGATACCTAAGAATCTACACACAAACTGTACATGATCTTCTACATACATAAATCATACAAACTGTCAGAATACATGAACTTTGCAAGGTTCCTGGATATAGGGTAAATATACAAAAATTAATTGTACAGTAGTTTTTATTATCAGCAACAATTAAAATTAAAAGGCGGCCCTATTTGCATGGTGTGTAGGAAAAATGCTCAAGAGCAAGACTTAAGCAGTGGTTGCCCTTGCTTGTGTAGCTCAGTGGTTGGAGCATCAGCTCAAACAACGAAGGTTCATGGGTTCAATTCTCAGTCAAGGGCACATACTTGGGTTGCAGGTTCTCTCCCCCAACCCACCCTTCTACTCTCTCTAAAAATCAATGGAAAAAATATCCTCAGTCGAGGATTAACAACAACAAAAAAAGAATTTAGCAGTGGTATTCAGCAACGTATAGGAGGAAAAAGACAATGGCCATATAATCCAATTAGCAGAGTTTGCCAAAACTGTTCAAAATTGACCCCTTTTTATTTTTGTTAATCCTCACCACAGGCTATTTTTTTCATTGATTTTTAGAGAAAGAGAAAGGGAGGGGGGAGAAACATCAATGTGAGAGACATATCGATTGGTTGCTTCCTGCACGAGCTCCAACCGGGGCTGGGGATTGAACTTGCAACCCAGATACGTGCTCTTCACAGAGAATGGAACCCGAGACCCTTCCGTGTGTGGGCCAACGTTCCAACCACTGTGCCACACCAGCCAGAGCAAAACTGACCCCTTTCTTCTGCTCTGAACATATACCCACACTGACCAAAGGTCTTGATAAAGTTCTAGGACAATTCCTTCTTGGGCACTGGGAGCTTTATATCTTGAAGGGACTGATGGAATTATTTGAGCTGAGGCCCTTCATTCCTCCTGTGCCTGACTGCTCATGATGAGCTAGATTAGATTCAATTAACCCCCTTTATTTAAGGAAGGGCCTGATGGCCACCTGTCAGGGACAGCTTTAGGCAAGAGGACTAGCAGGCACCAGTGGTGCCTGCTACCGCAGCTGTACCTTTAAAGGCCTGATGATGGAAGAGTGGCCCTGAGTGGCTAAGGAAGGACCCACAGATTGTTAGAAAAACTTCAACCCACTCTTCCATCCCACTCACCTGTCAAGGTAAGAAACTGTAACCCCAACTTTCTCCCCATTTTGCCATTTCTTCCCAACTTTTTCTAAGGAGTTAGGAATAAAGCCTGTTTGTTTTCTCTGTGTAAAAAGGCTTATTTCTTTAGAGGGGGGGGAAAACAGCCTCTACTTCTACCCTCTAGGATGAGCAAATTTTAGTTCTCAATCAGACCCTACACAGGGAGCTACATTCCACTGACAGTTCAGCATCCCAGGAAACTTGGTATAGGTAAATGGATACCATGAATTATTATCAATATTTTAATCACTAGAAAGGTATATTGATCACTGGAAATTAGTAAGTCTGTATGTAAGTTCATCAGTTATGCTCTGATGAGTTTAATTAGTCTGGGTGCACTAACAAAATTTAGTATCTGGACATGCGGAGCTGAGGACTGGGTCCTGGAATGAGGTGCCTATGTAGTGTGTGAGGTCCCATCTGGGCATCCAACAGGACTTCCATTCTGATATTTCTACCATATCTCCTATGGCTAAAGCAATGTTTTAAAAGCCACTCTGTATATAAATATAATTCATTACAATTTTGGGGAGTATAGTCTGGAAATAACTAGTAATCAACTGAGAACCAATTAAATAATTCTAGCCCTGGTTGGGTTGCTCCGTTGGTTGGAGAGTCATCCCGTACACCAAAGGGCTGCGGGTTCGATTTCTGGTCAGGGCACATACCTAGGTTGCCGGTTCAATCCCCAGTCAGGGCAGGTACAGGAGGCAACTGATAAGTGTTTCCCACTCTCTCCCTTTCTCCTCTCTAAAAAACATCAATAAAAGCATATTCTCGGGTGAGGATTAAAAAAAAAAAAAAAATCTAAAAAGGGCTCCCAAACACTGATGTCAATTTGAAACACTTTTCCACAAAAATAACCCATAAGATTGACCTTCACCATATTTAATAATTCAACAAATATTTATTAAGCACCTATTGTATACTATGCACTATGCTCCTAATAAGCCAGGAAATCAACAGAATGCCACTGCAATGAACAAATGTTTTCACTAAGTTATTAGGTACTCTTAACATTTAATTCAGGTAGCAAATGATCGTAACATACCTTCATTGGCATCTTTGTCCTGGGATTTGGTAGAGCCAATTCCTGACGATGATGGAACTTCAGAGTCATTTGGGTTTTCCTCAGCTGATGGCTTTCCTTTTTCTTGAAGATTCTGTCATTGAAAATTAATTAATGATTCCAAAAACTAATGCAGATTTAGCTCTCTCCAGTTGAAAACAGGGCATTTGCCTCACTTTCTACTTATGTAAAACTTGAGCTCTTCACCCAACAGTATGTGGAATCTAAATTTGAATATTGTCAAAGCATTACAAAATACTTAGGTCTCATCCTTCAGTATGAATCAATCATTTGTAAAAAATAATAAAAACATAGCATGAGGATTTCATTAATCTGCACATTGTATCCTAGCTATCTATGAAAATCGACAGGGTACTATTAGTTGCATGAGTTAAGAAAGAATCCACCAACTAATTGCAAAAGGTGCAATTTTATTTTCCCTCAGACTTCAAGTAAGTGAGAATATACAGAAAATTCAGACATTCATTCATAAGTATGAAAAATATGTGAGTGAAGATTTTGTTAACCGACAAGAAAATTCACGTTTTTGTGGAAGATCACATTACATCATTGGGAGCCTCCTCAAAAATGGGATCTCAAATCCCTCCGCTTAAAAATTAGAAGCTGAGCCCTAAAGAAGAGAGGTGAGCTGCTCACCGAAAGTCACAAAAACTTAGCGGCAACCTAGGCCTAGAACCAGCTACTCTGACCCCAAACCCTCCC